TGATAAATATGGCGACAAAGATGAGGACAATAGTACGAATAATGTAAATAATGTACAGAATACTTCAACTCAGAAATATAGACAAGTTTAGGAATTATTAGAAATTACCCTGAGAAATGTCCCCCGGAAAGACATCACCATCATACAAGGGGATTGAAATGCCAGGGTAGGGCCTGATGCGTGCACAAACTGAACAGGAAAAGTCGGTGTATTTAGCATTGTGAAGATGAACAAACGGATTTAGACTGCTTGAATGTACCGGAAGTCATAATTTTACCCGGCACAACCCGCTGCACCCCTATAAGCTGTCCCGAACCGCATTCTGCTAATGGGAAGATCAATAATGAGATCGACTGTATTTTGGTTCCCCAACGTTATAAATCAAGCATTTACAGGTCAAACATAGCATTTTCTGGCGCAGACATCAGCAGCGATCATGATCTTAAATTGAGGCTGGATTCTAACCGCTGTTCAAAGGAATCCCGCATCCATTTCGACCTTGAGAATTTAAAAGACCCTGAGGTCACGCAACTGCCCCAAACCAAAGTTGACAGCAAGTTCACAGCCCTGAACCTATTTAACAGTTATGTAGACACTTTTGCAGATCACATTATAGAAGTGTCACTCATAACAGCTGTGGTAGTTTTAGGTAACTGGCAAAGGAAAATCCAACCGTGGGTCACCAACAAAATCTTGGATTTGTATGACAAGAAGATAGAACTGAGGAGAAACAAGCACTCAAGTGATGAGGTTTGTGCCCAATATCAGGAAGTGCGCAGTGACGTGAGGAGAAAAATGCGGGCAGCTAATGAGGAATAGATACTAAATAAGTGCAAAGGCTATTGACAAGGATCTGCTTACTGGCAATAACAAACAGGCTTACAATACTCTAAAATCCCTCACTAAGACCAGCCAACAGAGAACAACGGTCGTAGACGATGAGAACAGTAAATTGCTGACGGACAATGAGAAGCTCCTCCATAGATGAGCTTGATACTGTGATGGTTTATACAATTACCAGCTCCAACCAGACGTCTCCATATTGCAAAGTGACCCTCACTCCACAAAGAGTGAGGAGACCGGTCCGTCAATACTGAAAGAGAAGGCTGAGTTCGCAATAAGGAGCTTGAAGCTAAACAAATCAACAAGAGTGGATAATATTTCCTTTGTGCTGATAAAGCAGTTAGGTGAAAAAACCATCAAAGTCATATCAGCACTATGCTAGATTTGGGAACAAAATAGTGCCCTAACGAGTGGACATAGTCATTGGTATTATGCGTGCTAAAGAAAGGAAGCCTCAGGCAATATCGAAATTACAGGACTATAAGCCTGATCAGTGATCCTAGTAAATTTCTGCTCCGTATCATTTTGAATCGTTTGAAATCCAAGACTGAAGAACTGCTATCAGAGGAGCAAGAATGTTTTAAGATTCTAGTTTTGTCCGCATGTGACAGGGATGTGTACTTTCTCCCACAGTGTTCAACCTATTTCAACAGTGAATCAAGCAAGAAAATCTGTACTGCCATGATCCTTCAATCTCTATCGATGGTAAACCCCTCTGTAACCTACGTTTTGCAGACGACATTGACCTCATAACAGGTAGTAACAGTCAGCTCCAGGACTTGACCAACAAACTAATGGAAATAGCAGGATCATATAGAATGGAGGTCAGCTCCGAAAAATCTAAAGAAATGGTCAATAGCACACTGTAACAAATTGCCATGAACGGGAATCTTGTCTAAAGGAAATTCGCACAAGGATTGCCACAGTCATGGCAGCGTTGACCAAATTGGCAAAAACATGGAGAGGCAAAATCAGCTTTTATACGAAGTACAGACTACAAATTGCTGGTAGACCCATTCTCCCATACGGATGAAAAACGTGAAAAATGTTGGCAGAAACAGAGAGAAGCATCCAAGCGTTTGAAAAAAAATACATAGGAAACTCCTTGGTATTTTCTATTGAGAAAATAAAACCAAAGAGTTTGTGCAGAAAAGGGTCGAACCTTTTGTGGGTGATGAGGAGCCTCTCCTCGCCACTGCCAAACGGAGAAAAACAGCGTGTTTTGGACACGTTACAAGGCACAACAGCCTGTGTAAGACTATCATGCAAAGCACCGTTGAAGGTGAACGTAGGAGAGGACGCCAACGTCAAAACTGTTTGGACAATGTCAACAAATGAACAGGTGTGACTTTATCAGAATTACTAATGGCTGCCGTTGATAGACCGTTGAGGAGAAGTTTCACTAGAGCTTCTACATTCGAAACCCCCACCTCTTACAATTACAAAAGTCAAGGGTATGACGACGATGATGATGATAGTAAGCAGTATTTCGATTTTCTCACGCAGCCTTTCATTTCAAATATACAGTTGTTTTAATTATTGCACACAAAGCAAGGCGATAAAGCCATTATGACGTAAGGGATTATTGAAAGTGAAAGAAGCTCAGAAAACTTTAATGACATTAAAAGAACAGGTTCCAAAGTGAGGATTAAGGTTTTGTTAGATTTTTGAAGATATTTGTCACACAGGAAAGCAAAAAGCCGGAAGAAATTTCCAAAATCAGAAAATGCGAGAAAATATATTATGTACAAAACTTTACGGTTACATCTCATGATTTAAGGAGTAAAATTATTATACATAGCTGCCAATCGTATTGTGCGCTTAAATTCGTTAAGTAGAGGCATCAAATAGGAAAGTTCATAACAATAATTGCTATGAAATTATTTCTATAAGATATGTTATGTTGATGAGAAAAAGATTAAAACTGAGATGCTACGTTGGGGCCTATAATATTGCAGATTCTTTTTTGGATTTTTTTTCCAAGCACTCTAGATATATTAGACCAGACAGCAATATTGAATGAATGTACGAAGCGTAGATATATAAAGGTACAAAATATATTTTGGTGAGAAAAATATTGATCCTGTACGGCATAGTGAACTAACTTCTCAAACAGTAGACCTAGAAAGGGATTTAATATGATCTGTCGTATTCTTGCCATTGAAAAGCGTAAAAGAACGAATTCAGTTTGGACTGGATGAACTTTTCTATATGTTGAAGTTTCTGGAATCACATAGACAAGGAGAATGTAACAAGTGAAAATTGATAAGGGACGCAACTGGATTTAACACCCAAATTTCATAGTGCGTCTCGAATAATTATTACGCCACTACCATAATCAACAAAAGTTCCAGTTCCCATATAAGCGTATTCCAGATGCTTTCTTTAAAACCCTGCTCTTCAATGTATGCAGTTCCTCACTCTATAGGTTATTTTCTTGATGTCAATAATACGCAAAAATGGCTTCCATCTAATCTCACCAATGCAAGGAAAGAATTTGCCCCGAGTGAATTCTATCTCTGTTGAGTGATTGAAAGCTATTTGTCGGAGCACGTTTTTCTTCATTTTGAATTATCGCAATAAACACTTTCTTTTCATTCCTGGTGATTCTCTCGGCTAAAAATTATGTTTTCGGTCTCAAATAAGGAGATAAATGTCATGTCGCGATCATCATCGCCATCACACACACGTACATACATACAGATCATACGGCAAGAATTCATTGGCTAATCTCCTCAAAACTAGCTTGCTGATTGGTCAATTCCGACCAATCAAATCGCCTGCACGCGCAGAATAATTTTCCCGCGTACAAGGCCGGTAGCCTGTCACGTGAGACACAACCTTATATATATATTTAAAAAAAAAAAAAAAAAAAAACACGAACAAGCCTCTCTCGTTCTCTTCATCAATCTTTTTCCTTGCTGCCAAGATGTAATCTTCATGAAATCCCGTCTTATCCGTGCGATCAGACGTTAAAGAACATTGCCAACAACACTTACCGACTTTTTCGCAAGTCGCCAGTAGAGCCCAGCAAACTTCGTCTGTCAACACAAACCTATGACTTTACTCACAACATTTCAAACGCACACAAAGACACAGAATTTTGGAATGCCTATATACATATCTCTCTGTGACTCAGCCAAGTTCAAACAACCAGGACTCTGTTAATTTCTCTGACACAACACACTTTCTGATCAATTGTATTCTTGTCTTATCTATTCTAACAGTCATTTGTCCTTATATTGATTCCAGAACATTTTCTCTCGGGAGAACTTTCTTTCGAACAATCAAATATAAATCAAAATACGATAAAAGGGAAGCCACTTCTTTTCCCTTAATCTATACATTGCAAACAATATTATTGTATATTTCTTTCATGTATGTTATTTCAATATATACTTGTTGATTTACATCTGGAGTTTCAATGTTGTCTTGAATCATATAACATACAAAAGTTATACACAGGCCAAAGAACACGCAGCCACCATAACAATCAAACAAAGCTATCGTACCAATGTCCATTTCCTAAAATTGCATTGAAAAATATTTCTAAATATAGCATTTTTAATTAGGTTTATATACGGCCTAAAACATTTTAATGGGTGCAAGAGAAATAAACTTCCCAAACATTTTTAAGATTTCACTAATATTACACAAAAAATAACCTTGCAATATTTACATCAAACTATTAATATTAAGACGAATATCCTGTATGAAATTTTATTTGGTTTTAACTGACCTCATTACAAATGATACAACATAAAAAAAATGTGACCGTTGGAATAGCTTATAGCCACCGTCGGCAAGAGAAAGTTGGATTGGTATGGCCACTGCCATCCTACATGAAGATCAGCTATATAAGTGGCTGGCAATTTTTTTTTTAATTGGTTTGACAACGTCACTGAATGGACGGAAAAATCCTTCATAGAGACATGGAAGATGGTGATCAGGTGCTCACATGCGCAATGATTCTACGCCTACGCCTCTCATAGAACTTAATGATGATGAAGAGGATGATGATGATGATGATGACTTATAATCTGTCCATTTATTTTTAAAACTAGCACAAAAATATTTTGTTAATTAGCAATACTATTTACATAATCATAATGAGAATGAAAGACCAAAAAAACTCCAATTTAGAAACTCGATATACCTTACCAGTTTTTACTACGTATAGATAGATAGATAGATAGATAGATAGATAGATAGATAGATAGATATGAACAGAATGGATAGATATGAACAATAAGATACATAGATAGATCGCTATGAATAGTATGTGATAGATATAAACAATGAGATAGATAGATAGATAGATAGATAGATAGATAGATAGATATGAATAGTATGTGATAGATATGAACAATGAGATAGATAGATAGATAGATAGATAGATAGATAGATAGATAGATAGATATGAATAGTATGTGATAGATATGAACAATGAGATAGATAGATATGAATAGTATGTGATAGATATGAACAATGAGATAGATAGATAGATAGATAGATAGATAGATAGATAGATAGATATGAATAGTATGTGATAGATATGAACAATGAGATAGATAGATAGATAGATAGATAGATAGATAGATAGATAGATAGATAGATGGATAGATATGAATAGTATGTGATAGATATGAACAATGAGATAGATAGATAGATAGATAGATAGATAGATAGATAGATATGAATAGTATGTGATAGATATGAACAATGAAATCGATAGATAGATAGATAGATAGATAGATAGATAGATAGATAGATAGATAGATAGATAGGACTAGTGTTCAGAAGAAAGAAAGAAAGAAAGAAAGAAAGAAAGAAAAATGGAGCTAAATAAAGGTAATTTGAAATATAAATCTTTATATAACGAGAGACAGGCAGATAGAAGAAGGAAAGAAAAAAATGCGGCTAAATAAAGGTAAGTGGATATATAAACCGACAAAAAGATAGACATAATCGACGAAAGAAAGAAAAAGATTCGGAGAAAGAAAGAAAGAAAGAAAGAAAAAGATGGAGCAAAGTAAGTAGAGATATACACCAACATATAAAGAAAGAAAGAAAGAATGAAAGAATGAAAAAGATGGAGATGAATAAAACTAAGTTGAGATATACACCTACATATAATGACGGACAGACAGATGCATAGACAGACAGAAAGAAATAAAGAAATAAATAAAGAAAGAAAAGAAGAGCATCTTTTTACCGAATTTTTACAATATTAATGATTATCTCATATATTTGTGCGAATTTCTTTCTCCATTCTATCTCATCTTCACTCTTAGTAATTTTTCCCACCAATTTGTGTGCAGTGGCTAGTGTTTCCATTTAACAAACAGCTGTCGTCTGCGAAAGAGAAAGAAGAAAATGGTTGCCTGCCGTTTCGTGTCTCGTCCTTTAAAATAAGCAACAGTGACGAGATGCAGCAAACGCTGATGACATCATTGACTGAGCGGAAACAGGTTGTAGCGCGCGGAGGATGGGAAGAGAAGACAACCCTAAGGGTGCAAATTGCGTTAATGCCGTTCTATCTTGTTTTCAAGTCAGTGAATGTTGAATTTTTAAGAATACACTCGAGATGTCTTACTTTGGTATTGAGTCATCTGTTTGTTCTCGCTCTTCTCACAGAAGACATTATAAGTGTAAAGATATGTGTCAAGCGATTTTTTTTTATTATTGAATTAGAGAATAACAGTTCTTAAATGATTTTTTTTTCTTACTGGACACGATTTTATAAAAGAGTTAGCAAATATGAAAACGTCTTGAGAAACTTGAGGAAATGTATAGTAGAACAGGGTTTAGAAATAATGAAAATCAGGTATTTATTTAGAGCTGCAAAAGACAGGAAGTTGTGAAGAGCCATGATCGCCTATGTCCCGAGAGGACTCGTCACAGGAAGAGAGAGTGGAATGTCAACACTATGTTTATGTCGTTATTTTCTCTTCTAGTTAAATGTGATTTTAGCTGTTGTCCTCAAGTGATGCGTTTTTTTTTTATTTGCAACATTTCTTTGTGATTCTGTAACGCCAGGCTTGAAGGAGGTTGTTGTTCGCCAAAACCCAGACTTCAGTCGCTCAAACTCATTTTTAACCATTATTCTTTAAAAAAAAAACCCAAAAAACCCACTTTTCTGATAGTTTGTAGATATCTGAACAGGTTCGACGCCATGCATGACACCCACCGGACAAGACTATTTAAGAAGATGTCTTGTGTTTTCGGATTAAAATTTCGTATATATTATAATAATCAAAATAAAAATTCCGTAGTAGTTATTTTTTTTAAAGCCATACAACTTCCTCATCGCAAAAATATAGACAGATACTGAAGAATTTTCTTTCTTTAAACAACTAGCTCAGCCACCCAAAATCGACTTCTTTATGTCTTACATTTGACCTCGAAGGTCAACCTCGGGAAGTCAGCGCTGTGATACATTTCTTCGAAAAATATGTCTTCTAAACTATTATTTAACAGTATCTTCCCCCTTAATGGGGAGCCGTTTCAGTCACGAAAGAGAACGCGTCTTCATTGCTTGAAGCTTAAAACACATTATGCTGAAAAGACTTTCTCTATCTATCATCCCACGCTAGCTCAGCCGATTTTTCCCGCATTAGGTTGCCATTTATTTCTGAGGCAGACCAGTTGCCATGCAACGCTATAGAACCCGGTCTGTACTGCTATTTACCCAGAGCTGGGGGGAGAGAAGAGGATTCATACCTTTCCCTAGGTTATTAGCACGTAAGTGAATGTAATTGATTCGACTGTAAATCGAACTCGGTCCTCCGATTCCTCAATCCGAGTCGCTATCTATTACTCCGCCATATTGTAGTTTTTCAGGGAATCAAGTAAACGGAAGGGAGTTCCACAGACGGAAAGTGCGAGAAAAAAAATTGTTGGAGGAGAAATGGTGGTTTTTGTTTAATTTCACTAGCATTCTCTTCCCGTGACAAAGGAATTTCCAATCTGGCTCGCACTCCGGAAATTAAACGAGAAAAACAAAAAAACAAAAAATATTGCCATGGAAAATGTTGTCAGAACTCCTATATACGATGGTTAAAACTCCTCGTTTAAAAATCGCAGCCATCAATTATAGTTAGTCTTAGGGGCCTAATCGGTGGCTCCTTATTTATTTACTGATTTTAGAAAATTCTGACCTCAAAAAATTAAACGTTTTCTTAATAAAACCGTTTATTTATTTTGACACATTTTGATCCTTTAAATGACTTTCCAAAACTGCTTTTATTAACGCCCCCATATATAGCATAGTCCGAAAAATTACGATCCACAAATACTAAGACCCCCACCTTTCTATTAGTCCCCGAAATGTAATTCTTATTTACATACGAAAGAAAGATAGAAGAATACGTTAGTACTACATATTGCCAAGGTACTTTTCTGACGCGGATTTTTATTGCACCTTTCAGGCCGTAATTCTACGATCATCAACTAACCAGTGTGGATCATAATTATAAAATAAGCTTTCGGTGAAATTATATCCGCGGTAAAAAAAAAAATGGAAGAGAAGTAAGATGAAAGGAAAAAAAGATTAGAAAAAATATAAACATTAGAAAAATATTAATGATGACAGTACTTCAGAGAAAATGTAGGAAAAATGTAGGTAATAGGTATCATGTTAATATATATATATATATATATATATATATATATATATATATATATATATATATATATATATTATATATATATATTAAATTTAGCAAATGGTAAAGCTGGTAATCATAAAATGAATTCTCAACATCTTGATTCAATTTTCTAAACATAAACACCAGATGGCAGTTTATACATCTCAATTCGAAATTAGTTTTTGCCTAAGCACATTACTGAATAACACACCAAGATATGCTTTCAGTGTAAGTTACACTGACCTCACATCTTGGTCGTGTTTAAATGAAGGCCCTGGGTTATTCCACTCCGAGGCTCCTACAAATGCCTCATTCTCACGAATAAGGAAAAGGATTTGAGTAAAGCCGAGGATGACGACGGGCGTTTAAAATTACTCAGTGGTGGTTTAGAGTCTACAATGCGTTACGCGATTATGTGTAAGAAAGGTCGATGACAGTGTAAAAAATATTATATATCTTAGCTAGAGATTCTATACATTTCGAGGCCGTAGGCTTCAGCCTGCTAAGCCTATAGAGAAATCAGGTACTGTATGTAACGGATATGAATGAGCCGCGAGCAATTTCTGAATTAGTCTGTTGGGAAAAGCATGAAGAATAAGACTATTAATGGCGTTAACTATTATAAGAGAATAAAATCTTTATATTCAAAACTACGGTGAAGGTAACGGGGAATTATTCCTTTATATTTCCTTAGAATCCGTGCCAATTCACAGATAATAAAGAAATGGAAAATTCTGAGAATCATGGCCGCCTGCAACCTGAAAGGAAAATAACGTCCCTTTCGTTCACTTTCCCACTAAAGCTTCTCCGACAAACATAAATATAACTCGACACATTCACGACAGTTATAGCTTAAATCGCAGTGTAGACTGGGTTTTCTGTCCTTAGGTGGCAATAAAAAATAAGTTTTAAAAAAAGCTGAGTTTCAAACCATGGAGATAAGATAACGGGAAAGCGTTCCACTATCCTCCCCAACTAATGAAGCCAATTCACAGATAATAAGAAGATAGGGTCTTCAGAGAGCCATGTTCGCCTTGAAGGGATATAGTCTGATAAAAAAAAATATAATATATCATTTTTATAAGTTCTCTTAAGTAAATGGATGGCGAAAAAGGGTTTACGAGAAATAAAGAAAAGACAAAAATTATAGTTACAAATGATAAAAAATTGTGGAGAGCAATGATCAGCTACGCCCTAAGGAGATACGACAAAGAAGATGTTTTTTGTTATCACAGTTATGCAACATGAAATCACGACACAGTATAACAGAGTTATCTCCCTTGAACTACTGAGACAATTCGGCTGTTTCTCTTATGAGAACAATAGAAGTCATCTTTTTAATTATAATAAAATATTCCTTTAAACATACCGTAAAGACATGTCTTGATACATTTACTTCTAGTCATTAGAGTTGAACCCTTTCAGTGAATCGGAATTTTTCGTTAACATCTTGAAAGAGATCACTGGAGTCACCTGACATTGCCAGTGCATTCAAAAATGTTACGGATATTAGAGACAAAAAGCACTTAGCGCATTAGTGAACAAAGTTAGAAATGTTGAATATTTTTATATAATCTAATTTCTGCTGATTTTAATGTATCTCAAGGCTTGTTATTGCCAGCCGTTTAAGCAAAAGAAATACGTTGGAAGTCTAGAATTAGTTTCCGGCCGCTACTTGCATTTACTCACTTTGGGAAATTGTTCGCCGACGAAAGACAAACACCGTGATGCCATTGGAATTCAAGTATATAGTGAAATAAAACTTTATTCTCGAACAGACACACATACAGGCACACACAGAAAGATACATATATATGTATACTTAACTGGCTTATATCAGGCGGCTATCACCCAGACAAGGCTCTGCCGAAGGGCGGAGTCTCGTCTCGGGAAACTGACTCCGTTTTTACGTGGTCTCGAGGGAATTTTTGCCCAAGCCTACGGGCTCGGATACCACACTTTAAAGTCGGCCTTGTGCCACATTCTGCTGCGTGGAGAAGAGGGTAAATAATTATGTATATATATTCTCCTGTAAAGGATGACGCTGGTTTGAATACTGCTGTAGGGTCATTTTTCTCTAATAGGATTTGTTAAATATTCTGGCTGGTAGACGATTTTAAAATACTGTTTAAATTAAACAGAACGTCTACTCAGAACTGTGTATCTACTAAAAATGAGGTTTATATTTTACCCATACGGATTACCTAGTTTTTCATAAACTATATATATATATATATATATATATATGTGTGTGTGTGTGTGTGTGTGCGCGTGTGTGTGTGTGTGTGTGTATTTAGGCAGCATTTTTTCATTGATACATGTTTCATGAAATAATATAGACAACTGTGGTCAATTTATTTTATGTAAATTCTTTTCATATCGTCAATTTCGCTTGGTCATGTGTGACGTCATGAACTGCGGCGCGATTTTCGCTTTCAGCGCCTTATATACACGTGTTTGTGTTTGCTTGGAAATCTTTCCTCTAAACAGAAGCAGACGATCATCACTGTCTTGTCCGTGTATTGCTTAATATATTGTAAAGTAATTGTCATCTTTGATAATGGCCTATGTAAGCCGAAAGCTCAGATAGAATTAAAAAATTTAATGATAATGTTATTAAGCTTATCAGAGGATATGAAAGGAGTTACAAAAAAATAAATAGACAGCACTTGTCTGCGTCAGTTAGTGGCCGGAAATGGCAGTCTAATAATTCGTCAATGTCTCCTGTTTTCATGTTTGCAAAGCTGTCACCTCCAATGATCGCAGCCAACTGCAAAGTTTTCTGTACTGTTGGATTTCGACAGGTGTAAATCCTTTGTCATCGTAAATAACCTCGGGCTCTAAATTCTTCCAGCTCGTGTTAATGGTGGCTGGCTTCATTTCTTGTAATACTTTCTGTGTATTTTGGAGGCAGGTAGCAATTGTGTACTGCCAGCAGTATACTTTCAAATTAAAATTTTCGTCTTTGTCTTCTTGGGCGGCATCCACAGAAACAACCAGGCTCACCAGGAAATTCCTCGTGTATAAGGCCATGAAAACCCTGATAACCCCCTGGTCCATTGGCTGAATATAGTGGCGTAGTGTTGGGCGGCAGCAATTCAGTCTGAATGCCCTCATGCGACAGGTCAATAGCGTGGCTACCAGCGTTATCCATAAATAGAATGATGTCGAATGGAAAACCCTTCTCTAATAGATAAACCTTGACTTGCGGGATAAAACACTGGTGGAACAGTCGAAGGTGAGGATCTTCGTTATCGACGCCTTTGGATTGTGCATCCAATGTACGGGTAGCAGATTCTTGTTTTTGTTTTTTAAAGTCCTTGGGTTTTTACTTGTAAATAAGTCCTGGCTTTAACAAAAATCCCGCAGAATTGCCACACATCACGAGGGTCACACGATTCGTGTATTCTTTCAAGCCAGACGCTGTTGCTTCCTCTTCGTACAGGAACGTTCGCGACGGCATTATTTTCCAAAACAAGCCTGTCTCGTCCATATTAAATCCTTGTTCGGGCTTATATCCACCTTCGGAGAGAATCTTCTTGAAAGTTTCATTCACGTATGTTTTTTAGGTTGTGAATCACTGAACGTCCCTGGTTGCGGATCTTCTACGTCGTCTTCCTCTTCTTTCTGGTCGCCACTGTCGTCCTCATGTTCCTTAGCGGCGAAAGTCTCGTGCATGCTCCTAGCCTTTGTTGGGATGATATTCATGTCCAAGGCTATGTTCTTCTTTCGGCAGTCGGCTATCCATACGGCCAAAGCAGTTTCCATACGCTGTATTACGAGCCGTAACCACTCTCTTCACCGACATATTAAAGGTGATGACAGCCGTCTTGCTAATGTTAGCCTCGTCCTTCTTGATGTAGCGAACGATAGATTCGTTCACGCTAAAATGGCGGGCTCCGGCAGCGAATGTTCTCCCTTCATTCAACATATCCAGACGTTTCACTTTCTCAGCAATCGTCATCATTCTTCGTTTGCGTTGAGGCTCAGTACCAGCCTTGGAAGAAGCATCACGCTTGGGAGCCATAGCAGGAGATGAAAACGCAAATTTCAACGCAAAGAAACAAAAATAAATCACACACAGCACAGCGTAAATTACTACAGTAAACCGCTCGGCGAGAAAGATTGAAGCAAAATGGCCGCGAAAGACAGAGACAAGGAAAGATCCTGCGGATCTGAGCAACGGTCAAAGCACCAATCACAGGCCAGATTACAAAATAGAAAGCTGTGATTCGTCGTCTCTCTCCATTGCACCTATCAGAGCCTGTCTTACAACGCACTTCGTCAGCGAGATGTTACGCTTAGCGTTTTCTCAGCAAAAGAATACGCGGGTACTGTATGTACATCGCATTCTAGATTGTTCTTCTTTTTGTCATGTGAGTCACAAGTTCAAATAACCTTGTATATGTTTTTTTGCTATTTTACTCTTGTTTTGTTGTTCCTAGACTAGGCAATAATATTTATTATTAATATTTTAATGGATTTAATGAGAAATTTTAGGTGTTCATATATCCCGATTTTCCATATATATATTTTAAGAATCCGCGAAGTCTTGAGTCCGCGATAGTAGAACCACGAATTACCGAGGGATCACTGTATATATATATAATAGGAAATATAATATACTTCTTTTATTATACGAGCCCCTAATATGTTTTTCTATAATATAGGCAAACATACTAGGTGCTGAAATAAGAAACACCACATAGCAGGAAACGATATTTAACTACAAACAACGAAAGGCTCTAGCAATAAATAAACACCGACCCCAAACCACTTTCCCGGAATAAGATACCTTACGCCCTCCAAAAGTCGCTAACACAACCCCATTCTCATTTACAAAGCGTCAACCAGAGGAGGACTGACAGTGAAAATAAATTTAAAACAAGGCTCTGAGACAGACACTTCGGGGCTGATAATAGCCTCGTACAGAACTCTTTGAAATAGACTATCGCTATGTTTTTCTGTAAAAAAATACATATGCTCTCTATGGATCAGTTTTAATAATTAATGTTGCTAGGATCCACCCAGATTGTATACCAACGGATCGATTACCTGTACTATATATGAGGGTCAAGCAGATCAGTTTCCAGGAAACCGACAGCCCGACACCGGCACATGAGATTTGATTATAGTGGTGAAGGCCTCGTGCGGGACCATTCATACTTTTTGAAGGGACGAATACTGAGACCTGGTGCACCGAATGCCACAAGGTTCCCAAACGACCCTCCACAGGTTTTGAATTCAGAGTTGTCCTTCTCCTAGACCAGTTGCCATCCAAAGCTATAAAACCCAGCCTTCCCTGCTATTTTACCCATATATATATATATATATATATATATATATATATATATATACACCATGGGACCATGAGATCAGCAGCTAGATAATTCAGAATGTCACTGCACGCAATAGGCATATACTTTTGTCTCTCCAAACAGACAGATATTATTGTTTTTATTGCGCCTGAAGTCATTTCTAATCTGTAATTTCCTCGCTGATAATCAAGCCAAAATATTGGAATTGGATCACTAGTTTAAGTTACTGATCACGGATTTGTATCTTTCTTGAACGTGCTTGACCGTTATTCATTATGACTTCCTCAACAACAACACCAAGAACACCAAGAACACCACCACCACCACCACCACCAACAACAATAATAATAATAATAATAATAATAATAATAATAATAATAATAACACATGAACATTTTACTGAACCAGTCATAATTAGCAATCGAAAAAGTAAAAATGATGCTATTTCTGTATGTTTTATGAAAGTTCTTGCTTTGTCTGAAGTTAATTTATTTCTATTTTGGTGCTGTTTATTCTTGAGGGAATACGCCCCAGCGACTCAGGATGTTATGATGAAAAACAAGAAGTTGTAGACACTACTACTACTACTAATACTAATACAACTACTACTACTAATAATAATAATAATGATAATAAATAGAAGAAGAAGAAGAAGAGAAAGTGAAATTCATGAAGTGAATGCTTATTGACATAATAGTACAATCTGCGAGAAACATCTCCATGAACATGATTGAGAAACTGTCCAAATACAAGGATCAGGAGATTGAGATTAGCAGGATATGGGCAATGAAGGATGAGTCTGTACAAATAGTAATCGGAGCTCTGGGTCTCGTGAGAAAAGGAACGGAAAATTTTCTAACGGTGTTCCAGGTAACATCAATACACAAGATCTCCCTACTAGGAACATCCCATATACTAAGAAAAGTGTTATTAATTAAATGATAATTCTTCTATAGAGGCTGAGGAACATAGTTTGGACCCGATTCTACAGGATACAAAGCTGGCAACATATGCAACTGAAAATAATAATAATAATAATAATAATAATAATAATAATAATAAATATCTATATAATTTAATTTTTTTTTTTTTTTTTTTTGTCAGTGGAAAGTGTCATGACGCCATTTCTAACCTTAGGTCCCTGGGCGGGACCCGGAAAGAAATGTGTAAACGCCAGAAATCAAAGAAAATAAAAATAATAATAATAATAATAATAATAATAATAATAATAATAATTCTACTTGTATTTCCTTATCTAGACATAGAGCTGACAAAGAAGAAAAGGAAGAAGACGAAATAATAATAATAATAATAATAGTTCTTTTTTTTCTTTTCTTTTTTTAAGCATTTCACCCCAAGCAAGGCGGGAAGCCACTAGGACGCAAGGGGTTACAGAAAAATTAGAGCAAGATCAGATAGGAGTGATAGAAGAAAGGATGAGAAGGATAGGGGATAGATCAAGGCAATTGGAGATGTCGATTGACATTACACTTGAATAGCTGGAGATTATAGCTCACAGGGAAACAGGAGAAGGGAAGAGAGTTCCACAGGCGAGAGGTGCGAGACATGAAGCTATTAGAGTAGAAGAGACGGCTACATTTAGGAGTTTCGACAGTGAAGGGGTGAGAGCGGGATGCCAGTCTCGTAGGGCGCTTGAACTCATGACGTCTGGGAACCAGCGAATGCAGCTCCTCGGAGCAATTTCCATGAAAGTATTTGTAGAACAGACAGAGGGAAGCGACGGCGCGTCTGTGAGAAAGTGACTGTAGACGAAACGCCAGGGCAGGGCCAACCATATTGCATATCCGCTTCTGGAGCCTATCAAGAACCCCGAGGCAAATAGAAGGGGCGCCAGACCATATATGGCAGCAATACTCCATGCAAGGGCGAATTGTGGATTTGTATATCTGGAGGATCGACTCAGGGGGGAAAAACTTCCTAGCGCGTCTCAGGGAGCCAACTTTCCTCGCAGTGGACGAGGCAATTGACTCGATGTATTTATTCCATCTCAGGTCAGCAGTCAACGTGAGACCGAGAAGCCGCAGAGAGTTGCTCTCGAGAAGTTGAGCGTCAGACATTCTAATGGAGGGAAGTTATGATCTCTGTGGTGATTAAGAGAGAGCAGTTTTGTCTTAGAAGCGTTGAAGTTGACCAGCCAATTCTTGCCCCAGTTCACAATCGATTGGACGTCCTTTTCGAGACGCACGGCAAGGTGAGTTTTGTCAGCGAGACTAGATTAGTTTTTGAGGCAGGAATAAATTGTGGTGTCATCCGCGTAGATGCCAATTTGAGAAGTTATGGCGTCAGGAAGGTCATTTATGTAGATAAGGAATAGAGTGGGCTCTAGGATGGAGCCTTGAGGAACACCTGCGTTCGTGGGATAGGAACTGGATGAGAATCCGTTGAGAACGACCTTCAATTCACGGTTTGACAGGAATGATTGTATTAGGTTATATAATCGACCCGTAATGCCATAACCCTGGACCTTAAGAAGAAGGCCGGCGTGCCAAACCCTATCAAATGATTTGGAGATGTCTAGTGCCACGGCTCGGGCTTCCCTGTTATTTTGGAGAGCTCGGTAGACTGTTTCAGTGAAGGCTGTGAGCGCATCGGCTGTAGATCAGGCAAAGCGGAAACCATATTGCTTGTCTGAGAGCAGATTATGGGATGTGAGGTGGTTAACCACCCCGGTATTGATTAGGGCTTCGAAGACTTTGCCGAAGAGGGGAAGGAGACTGATAGGTCGGTAGTTGGAAGGGTCAGAGGGGTCGCCGGAGTTCTTGAAGACAGGAACGATCGAAGAGGACTTCCAGCAGTCAAGAAAACAAGATTCCTTGAGGCAGTAGTTGTATAGTTTCGAAAGGGCGGGCGCCAGTTCAGGCGCGCATTTCTTTAAGACAATGGCTGGTATCCCGTCACCACCAGTAGCCTTATTGGGATCTAAATTGGAGATAACGCCCAGTACCAAAGTTGGGGTTATGTTTAACCCACTCAATATGGCCTCAGTTCTAAGAGGGAAGTCAGGTATGGGTACACCGGAAGAGTCGAGCGTCGAGTTGAATGAAAATTTCCGAGCAAATCATTCAGCCTTGTCGGTAGAGGAGTTCAGGACTTCGAACTAGTTGAATAAAGGAGGTATAGAGGGTTTGCAATTGTTCAATACGCTCTTGTAGAGACGCCAATAATCTTTGGAGCCAAATTTGCGAGATGCAATACGTTCCTTCATTCGAGCCGCAAATAGTGACTTAGCATCATTGAGGTCACGCTTACATTCGTTACGGGCGGAGGCAAAGAGACGTCTATTGCAGTCAGACATGTCGCTACGGTATAGGTGGAAGTAGTGGTTCCTATGGGCGATGGCGGCTGAGCAAGCAGCCGAGAACCAGGGGCAGGAGCGCGACTTGACCCTATATTTCCTTGATGGGATGAAAGCGTCGATTCCAGCTTTAACCCAGGAAGAGACTTCAGAAGCACATTCTTGGACGGGGAGCTTAAAGACTCCATCCCAGGGGACACCGCGGAGGAAATCACGGAACGCGTCCCAGTCAGCTCGTTGATATAGAACGAAGTTCTAGTGGTAGGATGTTCTTTCTAGTGGGTGGAGTTAAAGGAGATATTAACCGATACTACTGCATGGTCACAGTTACCAAAAGGGCAGAGTTGCGAGGCGCTGCAGGATTCGGGGATGGAGGTAAAGCACAAATCGAGT